ACACGAAGCGACGACTGTCTCCACTCGCACAGCGCCGTGGCTGCGTGACCTTGTTTGTACTAAGCGCTGGGATCCGGCGAAAATGGTACCGGGTGGACCCTCCCATGCACGCTACGGCAGCACTTTATGCGTAGCGTGCTGACTCAAAAGAGAACGGTTTGGAGAACTGTCCTTCAACGATTGGCAACTTGACCGCCCTCCCTCCCCCCCCCCCCCCCCGGGGCGTGCTTCTTGGAAACCCAAACTGCAGCACTGGCCGTGCCGGGGACCGATCACGTCCCTCTTCTGGAGCTACCTGGGCGCCCGCGGCATCCCGTGGCCCTCAAAGCTACAGATGGCGGGGTACCTCGGGACATACCTGGCGATGGCCTACTCGGTCGTTGGCATCTGCTCGTACATCGTGCTGCGTATGTTTTACGGAGTCTTGCAGGTGCGCATGTGTGTGCGTGCGTGTGTTTATTATTAACATCGACCGTATTAGCCGGCTGACCAATGAAAAGACGTCTTTGTTCCAGCTGCTTTAGTTGTCGCTGTGTAGCTCCGGACAAGGCGTTACACGCGTACCGCATGATCAAAGGGAACTGCGTTTAACTCATTCGCAGTTGCTTAGACCTCAATGCTCCGGCGCCCCACGAGTCTTTGGCAAGCCCCTTTATTAACGATCTACCCTGTAATAGAAGAGAGAAGTCAGCAGCAGCGCGGTACCGAACGGTACCGAACCAATTCTATTCCCGATTTTCTTCGGAGAGTCCCGCCGGCCACCGCAGGGTAGCGCCGTGTGTAAGTCTGGTTGTCACGTCGGCCTTCCCGTGCCTCCCTCGTGAGGCACGACGAAGCAGCGCGTGACACGATACGACGCCGCCGCCACACACCAGTCGACGGATTCCACACACCAGTCGACGGATTGCTTGCCCCACCCTCCCCGCTCATTTTTTGGCTTCTATTCCCCCATCCGTTACTGCTGCTGCTGCTGCTGCTGCTGCTACTGCTCGATTACAAAAATAATAAACAGGAGGACATCACGAACACGTACGACGTGTTCATCACCGTCGTCTTCGTGTTCGGGGTGATCGGCATCTTCGGCGCGGGGACTATCCGCTACCGGATGGGCTTCGCCGGCGATGTCACCATCTTCCAGGTGTGTGTGTGCGTGTGTGTTTTGTGTGTGGCGTTGCCGGTTTTGCAGCAGTAGCACGTTTGCTGCTGGGTGGGCTAAATACACGGTGAAACGAATGAATATTACGACGAAGAAGACGCACGCCCCCTGTCTTGGCGCAAGAGAAACGCGCTGTCGTCTGGGGAGTCCTCTGTCTCCGGGGCGGGAGAAGGGGGTAGGCGTAGTGTGTGTGTGTATTGTTTTTTTTCATTGGCATCGATCCCGCTAACCGGCTGACCAATTGAAAGACGTCAGTCTCAGTACGGTGGAAAACGCAAAATGCTTCTTGTAGGCCACGATCTGCGACCCTGTGACCGAGGGTCATGGGGGAGCCTAGGCTACCCTCCGGATCAGTGAAAGATTTCACTGTAAGCAGTGTTTGTGTGTGTCGGTCATGAGCGTCGTCGATCGCGGCTACCTGCTGTAGGGAACGCCAGCCCCAGCGAAACAACGCCAACACGCGGTAAAAAGACGCCTCGTTGTCCAGGAGACCCTCCCAAGGGGGCTCCGTGACGGAGAACGGGACGTGTGCGCTTGTTGTTGCCCCATATCCTGCTCCCCGGTAAATCGGTTTTGTTCTAAAATCTGTGTCGAGGTCTATGTTCACTCCACCCCTCGCTGGTGTTGGGTTGGGTATTGCGGCGCGGGAGTCC